AACATCAGACCACAGGCTGAATCTAGGCCACAGGATTGTACAAGCCAGATACCAACCTAGGAAATGAACTCTTAAGGACTATCCAAAACCGGAAGAATTAAACAGGGAACCAGAGAGGTTAATCTGTAAATGACAACAACATCAGAACAATAAAAGAGGGAATAAACGGTGTTAGGTATAGAACCTTCTAATGGAGAGGAAGGCAAGACAATACCAAGTAATACTAGACTGGTTCGAACCTAGGAAGATAAGGGTAAATTCCAAGGTAACCACAAAGAAAGTTAACAAATCTCCTCATAAAAATAAAGAAGAAAAACGTCTCAGTAAAAACAAAACCTACAAAAACAAAAGAAATGAAAAAAACATCCACAAACAAAAGGAATTCAGCACAGGAGAGAGAGGAACAAAGAAAACATCAGCGACACAAAAAAAAGCACTACAAAATGACAGCAGTAAACTCACACCTATCAGTAGTTACACTGAATGTAAATGGCCTAAATGCACCCATAAAGAGATGGAGAATGACAGAATGGATAAAAAACAGGATCCATCAATATGCTGTCTACAAGAGGCACACCTTAGAAACAAAGATATAAATTTATTAAAAATCAAAGGATGGAAAAAAATAAGCAAACAGCTACCAAAAAAGAGCAGGAGCGGTAATACTAATCTCAGATAAAATAGACTTTAAAACAAAATCCACCATACAAGACAAAGAAGGACACTATATAATGATTAAGGGGATGATCCATCATGAAGACATAGCCATAATAAACGACTACACACCCAGTGACGGGGCTCCAAAATACATAAACTAACGAAACTGGAGGGCATTATGCTAAGTGAAATAAGTCAGTCACAAAAGGACAAATATTGTATGAGACCTCTACTGTAAAAACTCATGCAAAAGTTTACACACAAAAAGAATCTTTGTTACAAGGGATGGGAGGGGTGGGAGGGGGAAATAATAAACAATAGATAAGTGGTAACTTTGGTGAAGGATAAGACAGTACACAATACTGGGGAAGCCAGCACAACTTGTACAAGAAAAGATCATGGAAGTTCCATAGACACATCCAAACTCCCTGAGGGACTGAATTGCTGGGCAGAGGGCTGTAGGGACCATAGTCTTGAGGAACATCTAGCTCAATTGGCAAAACACAGTTTATAAAGACAGTATTGTACATTCTGCCTTGGTGAGTAGTGTCTGGGGTCTTAAAAGCCTGTGAGCAACCATATAAGATACTCTACTGGTCTCGCCCCTTACAGAGCAAGGGAGAAAGAAGAGAACAGGATACAAGGAAAAGATTAGTCAGGACTAATGGACCACAGCTACCACGGTCTCCACCAGACTGAGTCCAGTACAGCTAGATGTTGCCTGGCTATCACTGCTAACTGCTCTGATCAGGATCACAACAGAGGGTCCTGGACAGAGCTGGAGAAGGATGTAGAACAAAATTCTAACTCACAAAAAAAAGACAAGATTTACTGGCCTTACAGACTGAAGAAACCCCAAGAGTATGGCCCCCAGACACCCTTTTAGATCAGAGGTGAAGTTTTTCCTGAGGTTCAACATTCAGCTGCAGATTGGACAGCCCCACAAAACAAACTGGGACTAATGAGGTGCACAGCAGTCCAAGGACGAGGACTAGAAGGCAGGAGGGAACAAGAAAGCTGGTGATAGGGAACCCAAGGTTGAGAAGGGACAGTGTTGACATGTCGTGGGGTTGTTAACCATTGTCATAAGGCAATATGTGTACTAACTGTTTAATGAGAAATTATTTGTTCTGTATACCTTCATCTAAGGTACAAGAAAAAAAAAAAGAATTATGTGAGATCAAGTTGACAACAGCAACCCAAAAGGTTTGATGGGAAGCATAGGGGCCAGTGAGTTGAAGATAATGGTGATGGAATAATTTGGAAAAGGATAGTGAGAATAGCAGAACAACTGGAAGAATGTAATTGATGTCACTGAATTGTATATGTAGAAATTTCTGAAATGGCCTATCTTTGGCTATGTATATTTTCACCAAAAAAAAATAAGATCCTCCAAGGTCGAGAAGGGAGAGTGTTGACATGTCATGAGGTTGTTAACCGATGTTACAAAACAATATGTGTACTGACTGTTTAATGAGAAACTATTTGTTCTGTAAATCTTCACCTAAAGTACAATTAAAAAAAAAAAAATTAAAAAACACTTTTTCAAGAGCTTTATTTAAGAATATTTAGAAATGTGGAATCCAAACAGATTTGCTATATGATGTGTGTTGAAAAAATTGATGAAGAGGTATGAAATAGAGACATTACTTTTAAGATTGGTTCTCCTATAAGACAGAAGGCTAAGATACTTTAGTTATTGCCTATGGTTTAAAACTTCTGACTGGACCAAGCGTTGTGTTTGTGGTAAAGATTTCTGATAACTGTTAAATATGACAAAGTTAATATGTAACCTGTTCTGGTATTATCTTTGCAGTGTATGCTGATGGTAGCATATGTTTAGATATCCTTCAGAACCGATGGAGTCCAACATATGATGTATCTTCTATCTTAACATCAATTCAGGTAAGTGTGTCTTAGGATTCTGTGGGATACAATCCTTTAAGAGCAATCTGAAGACTAAGTGAGCAAAGTAACTTTCCTAGCATTCAGGTAACCAATGGCAGAGCTCAAACAAGAACCCATGATTTTCAGCTAGCTGGTCTGATTTTCAGCTTTCCTATTTTGTTCCTTTGCTACTGAATATGCATATATATATTTTAAAAAACCCGTTGCCATCGAGTCTATTCTGACTCATAGCGACTCTGTAGGAGAGTAGAACTGCCCTATACGGTTTCCAAGGAACGCCTGGTGGATTCGGACTGCCGACCTTTTGGTTAGCAGCTGTAGCTCTTAACCACTGCACCACCAGAGTTTCCGTGTGTGTGTGTGTGTGTGTGTGTGTGTTTTGTTGATTAAAGGAAATGAGATTTATCACCTAATATAATGTCAAACATTTGCAAAGTAATCACAGTAATAGGGTTTAACCTTGGAAAGTTGGTTGCTATGCTTTTTTAACCAAATGAAGCTGTTGATCTCCTGGGTAAAGAGAAAGTGTCAGTACGCTGAAGAATACTGTTCTGATTTCTTTGAAAATTAGAGTTTTTAAGGTAACTGGCAAAATATTGAACGATGAGGAAGCCTCAAAAGAAGATAGAAGGAATACACAGAGTTACAGTACCAAAAAGAGTTGGTCTATGTTCAGCGATTTCAGGAGGTAGCATATGATCAAGAACCAATGGTATTGAGAAAGAAGTCCAAGCTGCACTGAAGGCATTGGCGAAACAGAAGGCTCCAGTTATTGACAGAATACCAACTGAAATGTTTCAGCAGACACCTGCAGCACTGAAGTGTTCAGTCATCTATGCCAAGAAATTTGGAAGGCAGCTACCTGGCCAACCAACTGAAAGAGATCCATATTTATGCCCATCCCAATGAAAGGTGATACAACAGAATGTGGATATTATCGAACAATATCATTAATATCACACACAAGTAGAATTTTGCTGAAGATAATTAAAAAATGGTTGCAGCAGTACATTAACAGGGAACTGCCAGAAATTCAAGCCAGATTCAGAAGAGAATGTGGAACAAGGGATATCATTTTTGATGTCACATGGATCTTGGTTGAAAGCTGAGAATACCAGAAAGATGTTAACCTGTGTTTTATTTACTGTGCAGATCATAACAATTATGGATAATATTGTGAAAAATGGGAATTCCAGAACACTTAATTGTGCTCATGCAAACCTGTACATAGACCAAGAGGCAGTCATTCGAACAGAACAAGGGGATATTGCATGATTTAAAATCAGGAAAGGTGTGCATCAGGGTTGTATCCTTTCACCATACTTACTCAGTGTGGACTATATGATAAAGAATGCAGCATCAGGATTGGAGGAAAACTTATAAACAACCTGTGATATGCAGATGACACAACTTTGCTTGCCAAAAGTGAAGAGGACTCGAAGCATTTACTGATGAAGTGCTTCAAAGACTACAGCTCAATATGGATTGATTACACCTCAACATAAAGAAAACAAAAATCCTCAACTATGATAAATGGAGGAAATGTTGAAGGTTGTTATGGATTTCGTTTGGATCCACAAATCAACACCCATGGAAGCAGCAGTCAAGAAATCAAACAACGTATTGCATTGGCCAAATCTGCAGCAAAAGACCTCTTTAAAGTGTTAAAAAGCAAATATGTCACTTTGAGGACTAAGGTGCGGCTGACTCAAGCCATGTTACTTTCAGTTGCCTCATATGCATGCAGTGAATAAGGAAGACTGAAGAATTGATGCCTTTGAATTACGGTGTTGGTGAAGAATATTGAACATACCATGTGTGATGGGGTAAAGTGTGTTGACTTGACTGGGCCACAATTCTCAGTGGTTTGGCAGTTGTGGTATAGTGTGGGCGGTTATGTAATGATGTGTAATCACCTCCATAATGGATCTACTCTGAATAGCCAGTCAGTTGAAAGGGATTTTCCCTGGGGTTGTGGCCTGCATCCAATATATATGGACTTCCTGGCAAAGCTTCCTGGCTTTTGCTCGCTCTGGATCCTGCATCCAGCTTGTCATCGTCTGACCTCCCGTTCTTGGGACTTGAACCAGTGGTTGGCCATATTGCCTGCCAATCTTGGGATTCATCAGCCTCTGCAGCTCATGAGCCAGCAGCCTGCCATCTTACCTGCCACTCTTGGGTCTGTCAACCCCTGCAGCTACATGAGTCAGAAGAAGCCTCCAGCCTGACACCTGACAGATGGACTTGGGACCTGCTAGCCTTTACAACCGTGCCAGCCATTTTCTTGAGAGAAATTTCTCTCTGTCTCTCTCTCTCTCTGTCTCTCTCTCTATATATATATGTATGTATGTATGTATATATATATATGCTTCACTGGTTTTGCATCTCTAGAGAACCCAGCCTAAGATATCATGAACTGCCAGAAGAACAAAGAAATCTGTCTTGGAAGATGTGCAGCGAGAATGCTTCTTATAAGTGAGGAGGGCGAGACTTCATCTCACATACTTTGAAGGGACCAGTCCCTAGAGAAGAACACCATGCTTAGTAAACCAAGGGTCAGCAAAAAAGAAGATCCTCAACAGGATGGATTGCACAGTGGCTGCACCAGTGGGCTCAAACATAGCAGTGATTGTGAGGATGGCACAGGATTGGGCAGATATTTCGTTCCGTAGTACATTGGGTCACTGTGAGTTAGAACCAACTCGACGGCGCTGAACAACAACAGCAAGGTAATTGAGAGCTATTTGTTTTGGAAGTATAAGTTCTCTTTATCAGTAGGAACCCTCTTGTATTGTATCAAGTCATTTCTGAATGTGTTTGGAGCTAAAAATTATGTAAGAAATACTAATTTCTGCCATTGAGTAATATCTGTCGTTTTGTATAACTTTCTGTGCTCCATATCTGACCCCTTGCTGGTATAAAGAATAAATCTGCAAATTTTTTCTCCCCTTTCTTTCCTTCTAGTCTCTGCTGGATGAACCAAATCCAAACAGTCCAGCCAACAGCCAGGCAGCTCAGCTTTATCAGGAAAACAAACGAGAATATGAGAAAAGAGTTTCAGCCATTGTTGAACAAAGCTGGAATGACTCATAATAGACAAGTGGTCTGTTAATCTTTTTCATCATTGTTGTGTATAATTTACCTCTCAGTAGAAAGGCTAACAAATTTTAAGTGCCACAGGTTTTAAGGATTCTGCAGAAAAAAAAAGTCCTTCAGTTTAGAACCTACAAAAGCTTGTGTATCTTGATTAATGTACTTTTTATTGCATGGTGTGAACTAAGTTATTGCTACATAAATTTGTAATATATCCTGTTTGTATTTTTTTCCAAGTGTATAATGTTGGTGTGGAGTTTTCATGACAGAATATACACATTTTGTAAATCTGTACTTTTTTCAAATATTGAATGCCTTATTTTTGAATTCTTTAGATTTTTAAATTGGAGAAAAGCACTTAAAGTTTTTTATATATGAATATTACATGTAAAGCTGTTAAAATACATAACTTCAGTGCAAGAGATTTTGTCACTTATTTCCTTATCTGTGTAGGATGGGTTAATAAGTCTCTAGCTCTCCACAACTGATGATAGTTTCATTTCCAATTTCAAGAGAAGATTTCTATTTTATCAAGAAATTCTTCAAATTTGATTCTAAATACCAATTATAATTTCATACTTTATTTTGAATGTACCTATATTAGTTTTAATTCAACAGTTACATACATAACTGGTTTGATTCTGTCTAGTTCTGTATTGAGGCCACTTGTTGCAGTTTCTTCATGCACTACTTACTGTTAAACTGTACCTTTTGCAATTAGCACCTCTACCATGAACAGAGAGCTGATGCAACTTATTTTGCTGCTTGGAAGCATCTTTAAAAGGTTTTTGATTGATGAAGAAAGTAAGTCTGTAAACATTTTCCAAAAATTCATGCCCCACTATTAACAATGAATAAGAATTGGTTGTATTTGTTGGAGCAAGGCAGATGTTTGCAAGGAATCTTGGTATAATTTAAACATTTGAAAACTGCCTTTTAATGCAGCTGCATATCTGTTTATTCTGGGGGAATGTTAAACACCATGGCCTGCTGAGTTGCTTTCTCTTGTGGAGATTTTTTTTTTTTTTAAATCTCCTAAATTGTATAAAAGTTGTTCTGAATTTAGTTTTAAAACACAGTATTGTAGAAAGCTGAGACCAAGCTATCCTATGCCTTCAAATAGTATAGAAAATGGAAAATATGCTAGTAATTTTTGTTGAACCACCTGTGCAGTCTTTCTGCTAGTTAAAACAGCTATTTTCACTACAATTAAACTCCAAAAGTTTCTTGTCATATCAGTAGTAGCTTAGGGGAGTAAGCTAGCAGCTTTTTCTCTACTGGAATACTGGGTTACAGGATGGCAATGTCTGCAACTTCTGTTCATTAAGCAAAGTGTAATACTGAAATGGATAAGTGCTGATCTTTGATTCAAAGAGGAATTTACTGACTGGAATCATGGGGGAAAAAAAGATGCTTTGTTTAAAGGTACTGTTGGTTATATTAAATGTGTGATGCTTTTATAGTTCAGCTCTACAACAGATTAGTTTCTGTTGACATTTACCCCAGCGACTGACTCTTAGATTAAATATGCAGTATCTGTGAGGACTCTCCTCTAATTTTATTAAATACTATTTGGATACTGCTTCAAAATCCATTTTTATCCTTAATGTATTTTCCCTTTCCTTAATTAAAACTGGAACATGTCAGGTATTGATAGATAACTACATGGACATTGTATCTTATTTTGTGGAAAGGTCAGTGATCAACATATGTAGCAACACTCATACCTATTTCACGTTTCCCATGGAGAAAATCATTAGGATGGTTCCATCTCTCAAAAATTCCAGTTTTTTCTTCAGCCTTGGAACAGATTCCCATTTCTTTGGTTGAGTACCTGATGTAAACCTTCAATTTATAATAATATGTTATACGAAAAATATCTACCTTTAAACACTAATGTGTGATGCGGAAAGAGGCTAAAACTGAGATATTTATTTATTTTTTGGTATGAGGTTGTATTGTTGAATTTGTTTAAGCTTAAATGTATGTGTGATTCCTCTAACAATAGCTCTAACATACAGCACTCTGTGCCAGGCACTGTTCTAAGCACATAACATGTATTATCTCATTTCAAACTCAGTAACCCTATGAGATACAGGTACTGTTACATTTCAGATGTGAGAAAACTAGGTATAAAGTTATTAAGTAACTTGCCCAAGATCAGCCTGCTAAGTGATAGAGCTGGGGTTTGATCCAAGTAGTCTGGTTTTTTAACCTGTAAAAATAGCAGTGTACATGTCTGACCTCCTCTAACTTCACGAGGTGGGAGAATCAAGATCAACATCAGCCCATGGCTAATTCCCTATGAGGTGGAGGTCAGACATACCTCCTCTCTTCAATCTTGTTACCAATTCTGACACCAGCCATCCCTCCCCACGGCACTCTGTAGTTTTCTGCTGAGTTCAATAATTTGTTGCAGTGGCAACATGGAACTCACAGACAATACTCAGGATTATGGGGCTTATTAGGAAAGTAACGGGTTACAGTTCAGGATCAGGAATGACTCAGGGTGCAGTTCTTTGGTCAGGATAGCCTCTCAGCCGTGCCCGCAGGCAGGCCTCTCTCTGGCTCTTGGCCTCACTTCTGCCTTGCTTGGGCAAGTGTTACAAAGCTTTTAGCTCTGCCAGGAAGTGCCCAGAGGCACCCTACTCTGTCAGGAAGTCTCCTGCCAGAAGGCGCTCAGCCCTCTCACTCTGTGGGTCAGCACACTCACTGTAGCTGCCTTGCTCTGTGGGCCAGGAAGCCCACCGTCTCATGCTGGTCTCCTGGCTGTGATGCCATTGTTTCTCTGCCAATGCTTCTTTCCATCTCCAGTGTTACAGCTCTCTCTCACTCTGTCTCCTGGTTCTAGGAAGTTCTCAGCATAGGGACACCTGGGTCCAAAGGATGCGCTCCACTCCTGGCTCTTGGTGGTAGTGAGGTCTCCCCTTTCTGCCTTTGGAATGGCTCATTTTAAGCCTAGCGAGGTGGCAAAACTGACAAGTCCCCTCACTAGGCTTCCATACACCTTATTTACATGGTCCCACCCCCACAAGGGTGCCATGCACCTTACTTGCATTATTAGCAAGCTGTCCAATCCCCTTGGTGGGCCACAAGCACTTTATCTGCATAGTCTCATCCAGTTATTTGGTAGGTGTTACAAGAACATGGTGAGAAAGGCCATACAAAAGCAGTCTATCGCACCACGTAACCAGTAACTGTACTATCTTTTAGGAGATATTAAGGGATTGAGTTGTTTGGGAAGTCCTACTGAACTTAAATAATGTTCATCCCAATTTGTGAAAATACTTCAGTTGATTTACAGTAGAGTTACATACAGACTTGTATCTATCCAGTTAAAAGGTTGGGCCACCATTTTCCATGTTTTTTTAAATGTAAACAAGTAAAGTTTGGACGTAGGAGCGCTTTCTGGTCTTTGATAACATAGGACTATGACTTTTCAATAGACTGGATTTTTTCCCCTTCTGGAAATATCCTTAAGTCTGTGGAAACCCACCCTCCCCAACTAGCAAAAAGAAAAAAGTTCCGTGAATAAGTAACTTCAGGAATTGATCTAAAAATTCTTACTTATGTAGATGGAAGGTAGTGGGGAAGGAAGCTATTAAAGGTGCAATATTTAAAGCAACGGTCTGCTTTTTGTTCAGTAAACAAGGTGCCTGTCTACTCAGTTTTATTCATTTAGTACTATAACCCTGGGACTTGAGCACAATTTAGAGTAGTATCTCCCAAGTTCTGGGAGATAAGGGGTCATACCCGACAAATTTGGGGGTCCTGATAGTGTTTATTATAATTCCTTTGTATTGCATTCAGTAATGCAGAGTCCCAAAGAAATCTCAGTTATGTGGGAATTATATATGTAAATAATAGAAAAGTCAGTAGTTGGAAAGCTATTATAGGTAAATGAAATTGTCCGTAGGACAGGGTCTTGTACCAAAATGGTAGCCCTGTTACTTGAGTTCCCAGTAGTTTTCTTCAGTTAGTCTGGTATATGGCATAGAGCAGAGATATTAGAAACTGAATTTTATTGTTAAGAAAGATTGACTTTTTTTACTCTATCCTTTGAACAAAGAAAAGAATTAAATTTGTGTGCCTTAATCTTCCTTCAAGAAGTTGTCCCCACTATCACTACAGCCTTTCTGAAACAATCTTATCAGAATGGCTTGAAGAATTTTTCAAGTTTTCTCAGTTCATAGCATGGGCTAGGGCTTTTTTTTTTTTTTTTTCCCCTCAGTTGGCCAAAAAGATGAATGAGCCATGCCATTTACAAACCTTTTTGGGTGCATGGCTCTCCCTCAGCTCAGCAACATTAGCTCCTTGAGAGTTGAAATCAAGAAGCCAGGAAGGACTGGTTCCAAGCTTCCTTTCTGATATATGGAAGATTCATACTTGGCTGAGAAGAGTGCATGAACTGACTTTCAGGAACTCTGACATTTTCTTAGCTAAAGCTTGGCCACATTAGGGTTTTATAAGTGACTTCTGTAATAACACGTTTGGGAAGACCCTAATATAAAGAACAAATTCTTTTGAGGGAAAGCAAATAGCCGTTTAGCTGGTTGGAGATGTCTTTACATGGTGGTGTTCTTGTTACAAGTATGATGCTTCTGTAGTTCTTTGGGAAGGTTAGCCTACCTGTAGTCTTACTTGGAAGACTGGGGTTCATAAAGTGCCATTAGGTTGTGGGCTTGTGGAGAGGGGATCAGAGGCTATCTCTGAAAGGATCCCCTAAGACTCCATCAGCTTGAGCCATCCCTTCCCATCCTGAAGCTGTCTGTTACTTGTCATTCTTCTTGGGAGTGAAGGAGGAGTTCTGTGGTATTTTTAAGGCTGCCAAAGTGCAAACGTAAGAGCACTTAATACAGACCTCTGGGGAGCAAAAGGTTGGTTTTGCTCTTGCTGTCCGAAGCCCAAAGGATACGCTTGCCCTCTTCTCTTCCTCCTTTACAAACAAGGCCTTTTGCCAAGAATACCACAGCTCACCAGCTGAATTGGACTAGCTGCACTCCTGAACAGGAGAACGTCAACTGCAGAGAAGCTTGCTGCTCTTTGGCTGGGTTCTGTGTTAAGTTATTTTACAAAACTGAGCTGGGAAATTTTGTTTTTTGCATTGGTGCTGGTGCAAAGAAAAACAGGAAGCTGCTTACCTACTGTATCATTCCAAATCTGAGGGATACCTTCTTCCAGCAGAAAACTGTGTTTTTGCTTGGCCTAATAACCATGCTGGGCCAAGAACAGGAAGGAATCCATAACCCATATCACTAGATTTGGCTAAAGGCTTGGAACATCACCTCCAAAGAAAATCTAAATTGGTAACCTTACTGTGTTGCAGTGAGTTTTGGTTACCGGACTGTTCTTGTACAGTCACATGAGGCTGTGGTTGCAAGTGGAGACTCCCAGGAACATCAAGAGGAAGATTGCCTTCAGAGTGAAAACAAAGTCAATCCCAGGGGTGGGTACAAAGGATCTGTAAGCCAGGAAGATCAGCAAGGCCTAGCAATAGTGAGTTTGATGAACCCATCTATGGGAGAAAGTTATCCTTCCTGGCTTGTGTTAGTCCTTACACATCGGCTCTAGGGACTGGGTCTCCTTTTGCACAGAACAGCTTGAGAACAGACCGCAATCACTGTGCTATCCCCTCAAGACCAAGTCTGAAGGATCAAGCTGTAAGAGACAATCTAAGCATCAAAAATGGAGACTTAGAGCCCAAGACTGGGAACTGCTTTCCAGACAGCCTTTGGCTGTGCATGCTCAGACCTGCGCAGTGGACCAGGCATGTAAGACAGCAAAGGGCCTCCTCCTGGCTCTAAGCTCCTAAGCCTTTGGGGACACTTTTAATATCAGTTCTGTTTTTTGTTATAAAAGGAGAACATAGTCATAAAAGATAATTTGGTAAATACAGAAGGTAGAAGGAAATATGAGTCATAGTCTCACCACCTGGGAGGCTTAGAACAGCTGGTTTAAGGAGAAGTGGCAACCATAGGTGATGGTCCAGCTGGGGCCCACAATTTACACAGAATGATGAGGAATCTAGTCAGTTTATAGGACAAAACCCTGGGCCAAACTTGGTCACACAGCCTCCAGGAGCCCTTTCCCTGGCTAGGCAGCAGAGGCATTGCCATGTGTGTGCCAGTGCTACAGCAAAGGCCATGCCTGTGTCAAAACAAGTATACCCACAGGCTGTATACCCAGGTGGTAGACAAGTTCTGAGGTGCCTGCTATGGGAGAAGGTTATGCAGGCCATGCAAGCTCTGGCCGAGGTTGCTCATTTCTTCATGGCAGCCCTCTCTGGAGGTTCTGTTCCCACCTGCCAGCTAGAGCCTGCCATTTGGTTGGTGCTGCGTTGTTCAGTGCCTGCTGCCATTTATTCAGCCAACATATATACTGTGTACCTAATGGGTGACAAGTTCCTTTTAGGCCCTGCTCTGCAGCTTGCACTGAAAAGGTCCACCTTTGCAACCCTGAGGATGGAGCCTGGTTGAGTGGGGTAATTGTGGGCATTCACTTTCCTTTTGTGTAAATTTAAGTAAGTTGGAGAATTTTCATATTTTCCCAGCTTGGCCTCAAAGGGATACTAGGGCATGAATGAGGAAGCAGTTATGAGAGCCTACTAAGTGCCGGTACTTTGTTTTTCCACTGACTCCTCCAATAAAGATTGAAGTAGGAATCATTATCACCACTTTGCAGATGCCTACCCTGAGGAGAAGTAACTCAGGAGGAAGAGAGTTATCTACCAGCTCACATCTACTAGGAACAAGCAGTCTTCTTACTATAAAAAAAAGTCAGAGGAAAAAAAAAAAGCAGCCCTAACAAGATAAGAATTTGCTGCTGGCTTTAACGAGGACTTCAACCACTAGACCCACATAGCTCAAGGCTAACCTTAATTGTCCCTTCACTGTAAATCAGAGGAGGGCCAAGACCTGCCTCAGGCCCCTACCAGCAACATTCTCCCAGGCAAAGGAAGTGGGAGGGAAGGCCATATTGAAGGATTTCTTTTTCTTTTTTGCTCAGCCCACTTCTGAGCTGGGAAAGAGGGATGGAACCCCTGGGTCAAGTTCTAAAGAGGGAGACACCCTTGTCTGAGAGCACAGCCAAGGAAGCAGCTCTGGCCCACATGACCAGGTCTAGAATAATAAGACCAAATCTAATGGGAGTTTAATAAGGTTATCTCAATTTCCATTCTCTCTTCTTTGATTTTCAAGAGAATCTGTGTTCAGAGGAAACTTTAATTTTTGTCAACAGTTGATGGAGTCTTTTTGCTTCACCTCCTTGGGATGAGACGGCACCTTCTGCCATTTGGGGCATCTTCTGATGTTATTAGGTTAAAGTCACTAGAAGTGACTTACATGATTAAACCTGGAGGAACTCAGTCAATATAATGTTGCCTTAGTTGAATGAAGGGCTAAATGGTTAACCACCAAAATACTGACTAGTACTTACAAACAGTGACCCAGTTGGCTCTCAGTGTGTGGGTGTCTATGGGCAAGGCTTCAAGCTCACTTCCATCACTGACAGGCACTCATGCAAAGAACCCTGCCCCTAATGCTGGCATTATCAGAAAACCTTTCAAACCAAAGTGAGAAGGGCAGCAACCACTGTAACCACCTATCCCCAGGAGTCAACTTTAGAAGGAGTATAGTGAATCTGGAAAAGAAACAATCTCACCTGGCTTGATTTTATTAAAAGAATACAGACTCCATGTGGGGAAAATTTTTCCTCCATTTTACTCACTGCTGTATGCTCAGTACCTAGAACAGCACCTGGCACAAAGTACGCAAAATAGTTGTTTAGTGAACCAATTTCCATATGACCAAAAAGTAAGTTCTAAGACTGTCTTGCCTTGGAGGATTTGTGTTGACTTTTATCCTACAGAAGTTGTCCCTACACTATCTAGTCAAGGATGAAAGCCATGACTAGATGTCATGGGGCACACAGCCTCAGACACCAATAGAAGTTGACAGTCTTCTTCCAGACATAGGGCACCCAGCACTCTTCAGAGCTGGACAATTGGGAAACACCCAGCTGACATTTAGGGTAATATAAACCACATTTCAGATGAATTTTCACTGCCACTTACTACAGATTAGCAAAGCATCAGAATGAGCAGTGATCGTTAATATATAGGTAAGCCATAGGTCTGAATGGATCCTGAATCCTTCTCTCTACTAATACAGAGGATTGGTCAGGTGGGCCAGAGAGACAAGAGTGTTTCAAAAAGTAATTTTCTGAGTGCCTGGATAACATGAAAGAGCATCACTGTTAAGGTAACTGAACACCCTAAATAAACTACACTGAATGTTAGTAATGGCTTTTCAGAAAGTCTGAGACTAATTAATAGAAAACATTCTTTCTGGCATTAACTTCCCCACCAAGTCCCTTCCTATGATCAGACTTGATCTTCACCTCAAGTCTTGGGCAGGATTGTACATATGAAGAGGCCAGAATCTTGCAGCTTATATCTGGTGTGAGCTCCTGTTCCAAGGCTGACAGTGGCCTTTTCACTATACACGAGTGCTGCAGTGCAAAAATTTAATTTCTGTGCTGCTTTCTCTTTCAGAAAAACAAAGGATGAAATTCTAAAATAGTGGTTTATTTCATAGGTGAGACAACCACAGAGGTTGTAAAGGTAAGATGAAAAGGAAGACACTGAGGGAAAACTCACTGGAAAATGAATCACAAAATTTGACATTGATTAACTAGAGAAGTCTTCAAAAAGAAAGAACCTGTGAATGATAAAAATTTTTTTTAAAAAAAACCTTTAAATCATTTATCTGAACATTTAAAAACAATATAAGCAGTCTAATTATTCCTGGTACATCTTCACATATTTTATCAGATAATTAGCTTATCTGTCTCTAATACGGTATACTGAATCTTTTTGAAGAATGTTATTTTTTCAATTTGGACTTAAAAAATTTTTTCACACACGCACAAACCATAAAGGAAATTGGTGGGGGATGGAGCCCTGGGGGCACAATGTTAACCATTTGTTAAGCACTTGGCTGCTAACCAAAAGGTCAGCGGTTCAAACCCACCAGCTGCTCTTGGGGTGGGGGGGAGCGTGGGGGAGGAGACCTGGCAATCTGCTCCGGTAAAGATTTCAGCCCAGGAATCCCTATAGGGCAGTTCTACTCTGTCTATGAGTCACAATCCACCAGACAGCACACAACAACATTACTCCACAACTTAAACTTGCTTTATGCAAGGGAGGCATTCCTAAATGGCTATCATTACTTTATATTTTTGCCATTATCTCTTGAAAATAAGAGAATGCATGATGAGAAACCTAATGAAAAATGTATTTTAAAAGTGAATAATCCTGTTTCCTCCCACATGTCCTTTATCTGCTATTAAACTCTAGAACCTAATTTCTGAAAAAAACAGTTTCACTGGAGCAAGGGACCCAACCATTGCTTCTGACCTAGAAGTCTCAATTTAAGGCATAGTTACAATTGGATGAATTAAATAAAAATAGGAAGATTAACACACACAAAGTGAATACTCACACACTGATTTTTCCACTTTGTAAATTTTTTAAGCCTCACAAATTTGTACAGATAAATCAAAATGGAAAGAGGCTGGGGTACGTTTGAAGACAAAAATAGGCTAAGGCTCAGTGAGCACTATGCTTGGCCCCCTAACATTTACTCTCTTAATCCTTGCCATAGCTCCTTGTGAGAGGTATTTCTCTGATCTCCATTCTCCAGGTAAGGATCAAGGGAAGAGAAGTGGCTTGTTCAAAGTTACAGATCAGAGACAGACTCCTTCCTTGGCCGTTTCACTCAGTCCATCCTACTGGTTAGAAGCTGCAGGAATGTGGCCCATCTAGGGGAGCTGCCCAGCCTTAGCCTCAGGCCATGGGTGAGTCTTGTTCCATTTCTCTGGCCCAAGACACTGTGCTGCCACAGTAGGCTCTCCTCTCCAACACGTCTGTTAAACTACCTATATTCACCAGTAGGTTACACTAAAGCAGGGTCCATTGTCTTATTGTCCACTATCCCCAGTATCAAGCACAATGCCTGGCACTGAATGAGTGAATCCTGCTGATGGTAGGCTGTTGATGCTAAAGAAAGCCCCTCTCCCAGTATTTATGCCTGGAGATATGCAATTAATAGCAGGTACTAAATAGGATAAAGGAACAGGGAGGGGTACAGAAAAGATACCCTAACTAAAAGGGGGGAAATTAATATAAAAATTTCAGAGACAAGCAGGACTCCAATAACAAGTATTTCCTGAGGGGCTACATCCAAGGCAGTTCCTCAAGTCTATAAGACTCAAGCCTCAGACTCCCTCTAGAAAAAAAACGGAAGGTGAGCTTTAGCCCAGCAACCTGGGAGACCTAGAGAATCTACAAATCAGCTGGCTGCCTGGGCAAACCTGTGGAATCTCATGTCAATGAGCTTTAAAATAAGGCCAGATACTTTCATTAGGCTGCCTCTTCCCCTAAGACGGTAGGTACCTCAGAGACCCTCCAAGGCCTATGATTTTATTCTCATAAAAAAAAAAAAAAGAGACAAGTGTGTGTGGGAAAGGGATATATATACGGCATCAATTTGAGATAGAAATAAGGAATACAGGCTATTTTGCCGGGGTAGGGTGGGGGAGGGGCATAAAACAATCATACTTAAAAAAGAACATTGTTAAAAAATCCAAATCGTAAAATTCATTACCTGCCATTATTACATTAACATTAAAAAAGGCATTTTTAATAAAAAGTTTGACATTTAAAAACAAAAGAAGGCTTTCACAATGTTGATGAACTCATCTTAGAGTGCATGATTTATAAATACATAAACTGTTCATGTAATACTTTTACAATGATAGGTTCTGGAAGAATAAAAACTTCTAAAAAGCCAATCTAGACAGATTACATTTCATTCCAACTGCCTCTCTTCTTTTTGTTGGTAATACCAGGAGTCTTGAGAGAGCCGCTGGGGTCAATGTCACATTTATCCCAGCCTTTCTTCTGAGCCTGTAGCTGATGATGAAAATGTGATAAATCTTCTACCTTAGCTTTGATGCTGGGAAGGAGATGGGGGGGAAGGGGGAGAAAAAGAAAAGGTTATACAGCTATGTAGTCCAGTGAATCAAATTCACTTTCATAAATTAAAATCTGACAGTGATACAGTATATATGTACTACCCAGATGGTAAACAGTCTTAGATATTATTAATATTTTACTACAGACAGAAAATTCAGCAAAACATTGACCCCAACATCCATTTGGAAGCCCAAACCTAGTTTTCTTGACTTCTCACCTGTTAATACATTTAAAAAAAAAGTTGCCATTGAGTCGATTCCAACTCAGAGACCCTACAGGACAGAGTAGAACTGCCCATAGGGTTTCCAAGGCTGTAATCTTTATGGAAGCAGACTACCACATCTTTCTCCCACAGAGCGGCTGGTGGGTTCAAATTGCTGACTTTTTGGTTAGCAGCCAAGCACTTAACCACTGCACCACCAGGGCTCCTTGTGATCTGTAAGCATTCACAATTTAAAGTGAAAATGGAAATACTTAAAATACAACTTTTTCCTGGCATGTTCTACAATGAAGAGTTCTAAAAGCAGAATCACACAAACACTTATTGTTCTAAATTAAAAACAGCAGAATTCAGGTAGTAATTCACAACGTTTCACACTGAGTCAGGGTTTAGGAGATGTGAGGTTATATATTTCTGGATTTCACACTATTAAAAACTGTAAAAGTATGTCTGCAAATAGTGACAAGTAAAGCAGATATATTCTTTTTGGGTACTCTCTAGCACCTTTGGTAAATTTAAACTTGGCTATAGACAACTTTTAAGCAGGGCGTGAAGAAATCACTTTGGCTGTCACCTGTATTTGAATGGATTTCCTTAACATTTAGCAGTGAGAGTGCATCAATCTGAGAGTCTTTTTAGTAATCAGAGTTTTCAAGGTATGACCTATTTTCTAGCTAAGCCAGTCACTCCAGGCTTTTTGAGAGATGTAAAAACAAGCTGAATTCCTCAGCAAAAGCAAATATAAGTCTTTTTCCTCTTGGGAGAAGGCAGTATCATCCAAAGAAACCATCTTTAGTCCAAAGTGAAAAAGAAATCCCAGGCCATCTCTCAAATTTCTGATAGAACAGACCAAGACTACAGCAGCACAACAGTTGCCACTGACTTTGGCCACTGCACGTACGGATAACATCTTTTCCAAAAGGTGCTGGCAGATGATCCAGTCATCCTGGACTGTGGCATTACTGAGTCCACCAGACAGCAAGACTAGCCTGTGGTGTTGGACACAGCTGTCCTGGCTGCTTCAATTTCTAGTGGATAAAGGAAAAACACACGTAACTGAGCATTTTTCTTGGGACACAAGACCTCCCCTGATTTAACCAATCTGACAGGTTGATTTTTTTTTTTTTAAAATACTCACCAATACTTGCTACCTTGGAATCCCAGCTCTTTCCACCAATGGAGTGGCTGCTCCATACCTCAGAGCTTGCCAAGACTGGACATAATGCTCAAAGAAAACCAAAACCAAACTTGATGCCTTCAAGTCAATTCCAACTAATAGCAACCCTACAGGACAGAGTAGTACTGCCCCAGAGGGTTTCCAAGGCGTAATCTTTATAGAAGCAGACTGCCACATCTTTCTCCCAAACAGCAGCTGGTGGGTTCGAACTGTCAACCTTTTGGTTAGCAGCCAAATGCTTAACCAATGAGCTACCAGGGCTCCAATGGTCAAAAGAGAACACCCTGAAACGCAAGCAAACTTGTTTTTCTAACTTTTATTTCACACTTCATATACAGTCATTTTCCATAATGTCATTTTCCCTCTTGGGATAAAAATGCTCTCAGGAAAAATGGACAAGTAATTACACTGACAACTTCCTTCTTTGAGCCAATAATGATAGCTTCTTATTCTTCGTCACTCACTCCTCTTTCTCCTTGATTAAGACAATACCTTGGAAAAATTAACTCTGACAGTCATGGTAATAACACCCTTCCTGAGTCACCTGCTGCTCTTTGTTAATTATCACTCATTAATGGGTAAGCTGATCAACCACAAATGCTGACAGTAGGTGTCTAGGAATGGCTGTTAGAAAATTGAGATTATTTTCTGAATATATTTGTGTTTAAATCTCTTTCAAAAGAAAAACCATACACTGCAACTGTTTGACATATCGCACCTGTCAGAGGCCAACACGCATTTTTCTCAGACCAAAATAACAAGAACAAAAAAACCAGCTGGACAAACCACAGAGATGTACTCTCCTCAAAGCTGCAGAAGAGCCATAAAGTATTTTTAAAATCTTACTTTAAAGAGCTGATGTCTCTAAGTTATCTTCACTGTCTGGGTCCGGAGATACCAACAATGCCAGCTGATTCATTTCGACTTGCTAGCTGCCTCTAAAATCCAACTAAACTCTAATTTTAGAGCTAAGGATCAATTCTGGGCAGAACAACAACACATGTTTTCAGGTGCATGGCTCGACACCAGGTTTTTTTTGTCTCTGGGCTGGCAGTGTTGCCTAATGTTTGCCAGCCTCCATTACATGCAAAAACCTCAGGCAAGGGACAAAACTACTCCTGGGAAGTCCTTGAGTCTCCGTGGCCCTCCCTCCAATGGGATCTCCAGGCAGGCGTCAATGGAGAGGGACAGCGTTCAACGTAAGTCTGTCATGGCCCCTAGATCAGATGACCTGTTCTCAGGATAGGCTTATCTAGGGTGGGCAAAACTCTGTGTGCCCTCTAAGTATCTCACTTCTCAGGATCAGCTGAATTTCATTTTCAGTGGCATTAACGGTCTAAAATTAAACTTGGTTACTAAGAAAACGTGAGTTTTATTTGAAAGAAGTTGAAACGTATAATCCAAAGATGTTATGGTAGAATTATGGCCTTGCTTCCGGCTTCTTCCAGGTAGCTAAGTGCTAATGATTGGTATGATGACAGCACTGGTGTTTAGGGATGTCAGGTTCATGCCTGAGGACTCTTCTCTGGAGATTCACACTGTACAATCACCATCAAGAATGCAAACCCCAGGGCAGGGCTCTCTATAATTTTGAGGTTCAAGACCGCTTTTCAATTTTCAAGTTTAAACAGACCACCCCCCCACACACAACACACCCACTTTTCACACCGCTCTGTGGATAATGTTTGGGACATGCCTACCAATGAAAAAACCTCCTCAGTCCCCGAGAGATCACCTTTCAGCCAAACAACAGACAGGCTTATAAAGTGAACAATAACACCCGTGAGGAACATGCTCCTCAGAACAATCAACCATACAAGACTAAAAGGGCAGCATTTGCCCAAAAACAAAATTCAGAAGGCAGGAAAGATGGGTGAATGGAAACGGGGAACCCAGGGAGGAAGCGGGTAGAGTGCTGTCACATTGAGGGGACTGCAACTAATGTCACAAAACAAAATGTGTATAAATTGTTGAATGGGAGACTAATTTGCTCTGTAAACTTTCACCCAAACCACAATAAAATGTTCAAAAAAAAACCTCCTTAGTCTCCTCCAGGGTCTGCAGCCCAAATATCATAAAGTGTTGTGATCTCTAATAGCCCAGCATACTGGAAGGAATAAAATTATCTTTCAGAACTCATATAAGATGGAGAAGTATAATGTAGAACTGACAGGAAAAAAAAACAGATCTAAGGGAGGGCAGAATACCTCTCTCAAGAACAAAGCAGAGAGGAGGTGAAGGCTTGCCCCATTCTCTTCCTCTGCCACCCTGTGGGGGCCTCTCAGGTAGGCAGCAGCTATCTAGACCCTCCCTGGCAGGGCCCAAGCAACCTCATCACTCTGAGATACCCAAGGAGGACTGTCAAGGAATGTTTAAAAGTATTACATGAAGGGATCCATAAAGCCACAAACTCATAAAGTCCAATTCACATGGCTCCCTGAAGTTTTTGATTCCAGGTTCAGATTAAAAACTAAAAAAATAATTTTTTAGGAAAATCATCTGAAATCAAGTGGGAAGTGCTGTTTGGGCCTGGAATACTTTCTGGGCAGCTAAGGTGACCTCCTTAAGGGCCTTACCTCCCGAAACAAAACCAAATCAAAACAAGACCAAATTGGGGTAAAGCAAGGGCTTACCTATGTTTCTGGGGGCAGAACTAAAAGGGGGCTAACAGCCTTTTATTCTATTGCTTTTGGTCAATTTAATAAGCATTTTCTGAGCACCTTCTCTGGGATAAGCCTATACTAGGTTTTGCAGTTACAAAGGACCAAACATTACATGCCAACTCTTTCCTCAAGAAGGTCACAATCTGGGGGCAAAAGAGACACACAAATAACTATAACTAATGAATTACGCTCTAAAAGAGGCCTGCATAAAATAAAAATAAATTTAAAAAAAAAAGGAACATAGTCTAGTTGGAATAGCCAGACATAAACATGTTGTTAGTTGCCACAGAGTTGCTTCTGACTCATGGCTACCAAGTAAGTGGTATAGACAGTAAAAGTAGAGTGAAAAGAGTCCAGGAGGGACACAAGGGAAGTAAAAAAAGAAAAAGAAAAAGAAAAAGAGGCCTGCATAAAGTGCCAAAGGAACTTTGGGAGATAAGGGAGCAATTAATTCTGCTGCCTGAGAAGACAGGCAGATTAAAAAAAAAAAATGTTTGGGAGTGATTCTGGAAAGCAGCTGGAATGAACAGCCCCATCCTCTAAGGTTCTTTCTGGCCCATGCCCCAAGGTCCTGACAGAAGGTTCTAGGCAGCAGCTCACTGTGTAAGAAGTCCACAGCCACAGACCAGACTAAGCCTTGAAGAAAAGGGAACAGCTATGGTGTCTGGACATTACTCCAGCCACATTCTCATCAGCAAGTTGGAGTGGCCAGACAAGTCTGGTCTGGCTCTTACCAACTGGGATGAGGATGAGTTATTGTTATCAACAAGATTTTTTAACAAGTGGGAAACTTTAGCACCCTGGCCAACATTTGCTTAAAAATCAAGGAAAAAGCTCAAAACAGAATGTTCTTAGGAAAACAGAAGAGGTCGAGTTTATGTGTTACTCCACCAACAATGCGTATACTATAATACTGTGTTGTTATCTAATTATGAAAAGGTTTACAGCAATTACAGGGAAATAAAAATGAAAGCATTTAATCTAAGATACAACTATTGGTCTCTCCAGAGCTAAAGAGAAAGAAGGAAACCAAAGACTCAAAGAAGAAACTAGCTTACGGAACCAATAGTCTACACGAACAATGACATCACCTACCTTGAGACCAGAAAAACTAGATGGTGCCTAGCTACCACTATTGACCATTCAGACCAGGAACTCAATAGATGGCCCCACAGAGAATGTGAGAAAAATGTAGAACAAAACTCCAATTTCTAAAAAAAAGGCCAGACTTACTGGACCAACAGAAACTAGATGAACCCCTGAGACTATCGCCCTGAGATACTCTTTAAACTTGGAACTCAAAACACTCCCAGAGGTCACCTTTCAGCCAGATGACAGATTGGCCCATAAAATAAATATCATCTGTGAGTACTGTGCTCCTCAAAATAATTGTCTAGATGAAACCAAATGGGTAACATTTACCCTAGACCAAAGATTAGAAGGCAAGGGGGGGACAGGGAAGCTAGACTGATGGAAACAGAACAACTAAAATGGAAATAACGAGAATACTGATGTATTGTGGAGAACGTAAACAATGTCACTGAACAATATGAATAGAAACTGTTAAATGAGAACCTAATTTCCTGTGTAAACTTTCACAATAAAATATTTTTTAAAAAAAATGAAAGGGCTTAGACTTTGGGTAGTAACAAGAGAATTCAAAAAGCAATATACTCTACAAATATCTTAAAGGGAGGGACTGTTAACTACACTATTTCATTAAATGCACTTGGAAATCCTGTTTACCTTTTTCATTAATTCACTTCTGGTTGTAAACTGTGGCAGATCTTCCACTTCAATCCCATCCGCCATTTCCATCACCTTGTCTAAAAGGTCTTTGTTGTAACTGTAGAATAAAAAGTAGTAAGGTAAAAGCCTTGGAAAAATTATTTGTCACTGTGAGTTAATACGAAATTGCAGGTTGCTGGACTGTAAACTCAACTCTCAAAGGACTGATTTGATACACTGCAAGAGAAACCAATTAACATGTTCAGCAGCAGGTTAGGAAACAGTTCTTCTCCCTGCTTATGTATACAAAAGTGGGCTTTAGGAACACCAATAGAGCAGGTGTTTCGATATTTATAAAAATATAGGCACCATACACATGGTAGTATATATTCTTGGATATGGTATGAGGACCAAAAAATAAATAAATTTTTTAAACACATGTAGAATGTTAGTCTAATAAAAATGGCATTATTTACTCACTTGCCCAATTCTCTGCCATTTGCCTAAACTTGGATACATTCCTGTTAACCAGGAAGGCAGAGAGAGGGAATAGATGCATCTGGCACTGCTTCCCCAAATCCTGTTCTAATGACCCTCAAGGTCTGAAAACAAAACTTAGTGGCGTAGGTCTGGAGAGGCCATGTGACCAGAAGCAGTCAGCCAGCCAGGTATAGTCATAAGTCATCTTGTTATCCTAACACAATGTCAGGAACTTCTAAAATGGTGTGGGGAGTACACAGATTTGCCACCTTTCTAGTGGTGGGTTATAAAACCAAAAACCAAACCCATTGCCATCAAGTCGATTCTGTCTCATAGTGACTCTACTGGACAGAGTACAATTGCCCCATGGGATTTCCAAGGCTGAAATCTTTATGGAAGCTGACTGCCACATCTTTCTCCCATGGAGCAACTGGTGGGTTCTAACCACCGACCTTTTGGTTAGTAGCTGAGTGCTTAACCACTGTGATACCAGGGCTCCTTAGTGGGGTCTAAGGGGTGGCAGGATGCAGTGAGCTTCAGACCTTGACAAAAAGGCATCTGTTATTTTTCATAAGCAGGACACAGACAGACAAGGTTGGCTCCTACTCAGGGACCAGCAGGCTGGTGACTGGGGAGTAATACTCAAAGGACACAGATTACATCCTGCCAGAAGTGGTAAAATCCACCCATCCTTCCAGAAGCTGCATGACCCTAGGCCTATCCCTTCACCTTCCTCAGCTTTTTCATCTGTAAAATGGGTGTCTTTGTGTCTGTCTCTGGATGGTTACCATGGGGCTCAAAAGTGCTAATCGACTTAAAACGCTCTGTAAAAGTGATGGTTTGAGCTAATGATAGCAGCAATAACAATGGCAACTTCAGCTCCTACCATGTATTGAGTCCTTGCTAGATGGCAGCCCTGTGCTAAGTGCTTTTCACCCTTTAGTACTGTAATCATCACAAAAACTCATTTTCCAAATGAGGAAACTGCGGCTCAGAGAAGTTAAGTATCTTTCCAAGGGACTACCAGAGTGGGAATCAGCCGCAGGCCGGGCCAAGGCGGTTGAAGGTTGGGGGCGGGTTCAGCCTGGGCCAGAGGATCGATTCAGGACACTGCCGTGGACGAGGGCTGTGGGTCGGAGGGCAGGGGACGGGGTCACCCGGCCGGGCAGGGGTCCGCACCTGCAGCCCAGGAAGAGGTGGTTGGCCCAGACCATGGAGAGGGACAGCAGCTGGTCCAGGCGGCCGCCGCCGTCGGGTGGGTCGCGATAGTCGGGCAGGTGGCGCAGGATGAACTCCATCCGGGCTTTCCATTGCTTCTCGCTCTCCGAATAGGAGCGGAACTGTTCCGCGAAGTCAGCCGCCTGCCTCACCCCCGAAACCAGTTCCTCCACCGCGGCGGCCGCCTCGCCACCGACCATGGCTCCCGCCGCCACCGCAGGCCCTACCTGTCCACCGCCTTCCCGGCGCGCACCGCGCCACCGCACGACAGCTAGAAGAGCCCCAGCGGCACACGACTGCTCTGGAGGACCGGCCTGGAGCGCCCTCGCGGGGAGTGGCGGGCTTGAGGAAGGATCGGCTCGCCGAGCCCAGCCCGTCAGACCTCCGCAGCCCACGGCGCCTAACGCCAGGCTACCCAGACAGTGCACGGGTGGTATGCTAACCACCCCGCGGGGAACGAGGGGGAAACTGAGGCCCCTAAGGACAGAATCGGGGCGCTCCCCTCCCAGCTGGGCAGCCGCATGACAGCCAAAACTACACTGTGTCCTTCATGCCCTGGGTAGTGGGGGGAAAGGTGGGAGATCCTCAGGCGCTGCCTCATCCTGGGCGACGTCAGGGGTCCTCGCCTCAGACTAGTCAGTATTGAGGTCTTATGCATGTGGCTGTCTGGGGCCCATCTTTGATTCTCAATGGTTTCAACACCCCATCCAGCTTGTGGAGCGTCTTTCTGGAGCAAGTCATCCATCTATTTATTTAACCAATAAATTCCTGCCAGGCAGTTTGCTAGGTGCTGGATATGCAAAGAGAGAAAAGTCAGAGTCCTGCACTAATGAAATTTACTGTCTAGTGAGGGAAGCAGACATTAGTGAAATAATTGCTCAAGTAAATGGAAAATTTCATCTCTGACAAGTATTAGTAAGAGTGCTGCGAGCATGAATAAGCAAAGGACCTGATCCAGACTTGGGGTCAGGGAAGGTTTCTCCAAGGAAGCAATGCTGGAGAACTGAGAGATGTGCAGGAGTTCACTCAGTGAAGGAGAGCAGGCCATGGCAAGAGAGAGTCTGACCTGGTAAGAGCAGCAAGATCTGTGTGACTGAATTCTAGAGAGGCAGGAAGAGTAGAAGAAATGAGGCTGCAGAGGTCAGCAGAGCCAGTAGACCACTGATAGAGATTGTGATCTAGATCCAAAGGGGAACGAAGAGCCAACGAAGGATTTTAAGGCAAAAGACCTCTTTAAAGCGTTAAAAAGCAAAGATATCACTTTAAGGACTGAGGTGTGCCTGACCAAAGCCATGGTATTTTCAGTCGCCTCATATGCATGCAAAAGCTGGACAGTTAAAGAAGAATTGACGACTTTGAATTATGATGTTGGAGAAGAATATTGAATATACCATGAACTGCCAAAAGAACGAACAAATCTGTGTTGGAAGAAGTACAGCCAGAATGCTTTGTAGAAGCGAGGATGGCGATACTTCGTCTCACATACTTTGGACATGTTATCAGGAGGGATCAGTCCCTAAAGAAGGACATAAACAAAAAAAAACCCAAACTCATTGCTATGGAGTTGATTCTGACTCATAATGACCTTATAGGACAGAGTAGAACTGCCCTATAGGAGAAGGACATCATGCTTGGTAAAGTAGAGGGTCAGCGAAAAAGAGGAAGAGCCTCAATGAGATGGATTGACACAGTGGCTCCAACAATGGGCTCAAGCAGCAACGATTGTGAGAATGGTGCAGGACCAGGCAGTGTTTCGTTCTGTTGTACACAGGGTCCTTATGAGTTGGAACTGACTTGATGGCACCTAACAACAAACAACAGCAAAGTGACATCTCTGTTTCCAAATGATATTGGAAGGAGCTGGAATGGATGTGTCCAGAGAAGATGAGCGGATAGGACTGAGGGTGTTTATTTAACTGGCATGACTCTGCTGTCTGTTCTGGGGTCAAGTAGCAGATCCGCTGAGAGACAGAAGGGCTTCCTTGTAAGTTGGTGAGTTTCCCATCCCCGGAAGCATTCAAGTACTGTTAACTAGGAAATCATTTGACTCTCTATCAATCTTGAGAGATTGTGGACCTTCCCTATAGGCTTCCCCCATGGTCCCACATCAAATGTGGGGTTGGAGTACAGAGCTGGGCCTAGAATCCAGGATCTAGGACTCCTGTGCAGGTCGTATATAGTGAGTAGGGTCCAGGGGAGCATCAGACCATGTTCAGGCTACTGCTTCTGCAGCTTCTGTTGGGGCTTCAGGGCCCCCAACAGACCGAAACCAGATACAGCATGGAAATACCGGACATTCTGAGCAGTAGACCATGTCCAGAGACCCACCCCCAAGCTCGGTGGCACTCCTTTGTGGTTAACAGTAGGGCAGCGTGCTACTCGCAGCCAAGTGGCTGGGGAGAGTACAATGGGGTCTATGAAACCAAGGACAGACCCAGCTTCTCCTGGCAATCAGGAATAGGGGTCCAGAGCTAGGATTCCCAAAATTGAACACAGATCACATCTCCTGAGGTGCTTGTTAAAATAGCAGATTCCACATGGATGAACCTTGAAAACATTATGCTAAGTGAATGAGTCAGTCAAAAAAGGACAAATATTATATGATCCCACGTATGTGAAATATCTAGAATAGGCAAGTGTTTAGAGACGAAAGTTTATTAGTGGCTACCAATGGCAGGAGGGACGGAGGGAGAAAGGACTCCGTGCTTAGGGGACACTGAGCTTCTGTCAAGGATAATGGAAAAATTTGGGAACCAATAAGGGTGATGGTTAAACAACATGATGAACATAAGTTAATGTCAGTGAAATGTACATGTGAAGAATGTTGAAATGGAAAATGTTTTGTTACAAATATATTTACCACACACACATAAAACAGAAGATTCCCAGGCCTCACTACTGGATGCTCAGAGTCAAGACTCCCAAGTAATTCTGACTCCAAGTCCAACTTTGAAAAACACTCAACGTTACTGAGGGTTTTCTGAGCCAAATTCTTGATCACCTGATTGCACAGTGCAGAGGCTGGGCCAGAAATAGGAACCTGGGCTTTGTGAACTGCAGTTGCAGCTACACAACCAACTCCACCTTGAGGTGTGAAAAAGCTCAGGGGTCATCCAGCAACTACCCTATTTAACATCACTTTTGACTGCGGTGGAGCATATGCATGTATGTCCGTACTTAAACAAATATTCAGGCATGCATACAAGTTATAAGAACCCAAAAGTCCACAAATAGATAGCCTTTTTTATAATGTGAAACTGTTAACATTGCACTTTCAAAATTGGAAGCAGTCTAAAACTTTAGTTACTATCGACACTTTGCAGGACCCTGCAGCAAAGTCCAATTACTGCCCACTTTACTGCTTCTAAACTATTGTTTAAAATGGTTCAGATTTTCTTAGAGTACTTACTAACACAGAAAAGACTAGTTTTTCTACCTCATCTTTTTTTAAGCATCTTTATTGAAGTATAATTCATATACCATAAAATTCATCTTTTTAAGTGTGTAATTCAATGATTTTAGTATATGCAGATTTGTGCAAACATCAAAACAAATTAAGTTTAGAACATTTCCATCATTCCAAAAAGAAAACCCCATTCACCATTAGCGGTCACCCTATTTCCTCCAGGCACTGGCCGCCACGTAACTACTTTCTAACTTTACGGAATTCTTATTCTGGACATTTCATGTAAATGGAATCCATACCATATGTGGTCTTTTGTGTCGGACTTCTTTCACTTAGCATGTTTTCAAGGTTCATCTATGTTGTAGCAGGAATCAGTACTTAATTTCTTTTTATGTCTGAATAATAGTTCATTCAATGTATGTACCACATTTTGTTTATCCATTCACAGTTGGAGCCCTGGTGATACATTAGTTAAGAGCTCAGCTACTAGCCAGAAGGTCAGCAGTTTAAATCCACCAGCCGCTCCTTGGAAACCCTATGGGGAGTTCTACTGTGTCCTATAGGGTTGCTATGAGTCGGAATTGACTTGATGGCAATGGGTTTGGTTTTGGTTTGGATTCACCAGTTAATGGACATTTGAGTGGTTTCCTTTTTGACTATTATGAATAATGCTGCTGTGAACACTCATATACAAGTTGTTGTGTAGACGTACGTTTTCAGTTCTCTTGGCTATATACGTAGGAGTGGAAATGGTCTATGTTTAACCTTTTGAGGAACTGACAGTCTGTTTTCCACAGGGACTACACCATTCTTAATTCCCTCCAGCAGTGTATGAGGTTTCCAGTTTCTCTATATCCTCTCCAACACTTGTTATTTTCCTTTTTTTTCTTTAATTACAACTATCCTAGTGGGTGTGAAGTGCTATCTCATTGTGACTTTGATTTGCATTTTCCTAATGACGAATGATATGAGCTTCTTTTCATGTGTTTATTGGCCATTTTTACATCCTCTTTGGAGAAATGTCTATTCAAATCCTTTGCCCATTTTAAATATTGGGTTATCTGTCTTTTTAATATTGCGTTACATAGTCTGGATCCTAGACTTTTTTCAGATATAAGATTTGCAAATATTTTCTCCCATCTTGTTGGTTGCCTTTTCACTTTCTTTATAGTATTCTTTGAAGTACAGACTTTTTTTTTTTTAATTATTGTGCCTTAGATGAGGGTTTACAAAACAAACTAGCTTCTCATTAAACAATTAGTACACATATTGTTTTGTGACATTGGTAGCCAACCCCACAGCATGTCAACACTCTCCCTTCTTGACCTTGCACTCCCTATTATCAGCTTTCCTGTCCCCTCCTGCCTTCTAGTCCTTGCCTCTGGGCTGGTGTGTCCCTTTAATCTCGTTTTGTTTTATGGGCCTGTCTAATTTTTGGCTGAAGGGTAAACCTCAGGAGTGGCTTCATTACTGAGCTAAAAGGGTATCCAGGGGCCATACTCTCGGGGTTTCTCCAATTTCTGTCAAGCCAGTAAGTCTGGTCTCTTTTTTGTGAGTTAGAATTTTGTTTTCCATTTTTCTCCAGCTGTGTCCAGAACCCTCTATTGTGATCCCTGTCAGAGCAGTCAGTGGTGGCAGCCGGGCACCATCTAGTTGTGCAAACATTTTTAATTTTGATGAAGCCCAATGTATCTGTTTTTTCTTTGGTTACTTGTGCTTTTTGTATCATATCTAAGAAACCATTGACTAGTCCAAACTCATGAAGATTTATACCTATATTTTCTTCGAAGAGTTTTATAGTTTTAACTCTTACATTTATGTGTTCGATTTGTTTTGAATTAATTTTTGTATATGGTGTG